TACACCACCCACCTTATCAGGCTCTGCCTCGTCCGTCAAGTTGCCGACCATGAACACGGACTGCGATCGTAAGTAGACGAGTCATCATCACCACGATCATCATCATCATCATCGTCACCATCATCATTACCACCACCACCATCGTCATTATAATTGTTACTACAATTACACCACCCACCTTATCAGGCTCTGCCTCGTCCGTCAGGTTGCCGACCATGAACACGGACTGCGAGCGCGAGTAGACGAGGGCCTCCAGGAACTGGTTGTTCTTGCACGTGTCCTCGTCCAGGAAGCGGCGCTCCAGCTCCTTCACCGAGCCCACAGGGATGTACTCCATCTTGACGTACTTCTTGGCCGGGACGATCTTGATCTCGGCCGCCACCAGGAAGCCAAGGGTGCCGTGCGACCACGGCACGGCGTAGAACAGGTCTGGGTTCTCGTCCTGGCCGCGGAGAGAGAGTTGATGTTTTAGTGAGAGTGTTACGGCACTTGCAACACAATAAGGTCATATTATAAGTGCTGAAGACTAGAGGTGTTACAAGAGAGTTTTAGTTTTAGTAAGAGTTTTACAAGCAACACAATAAGGTCATATAAGTACCGAAAATTTTTTAGTTTTAGTAAGAGTTTTACAACACTTGCAACACAATAGGGTCATATAAGTGCTGAAGTTTTTTTTTGTTTTTGTAAAAGTCTACAGGACTTGCAACACAATAAGGTCATATAAGTCCCGAATTTTTTTATATTTTAGTAAGAGTTTTACAGCACTTGCAACACAATAAGGTCAAATAAATGTCGAAGAATAGATTATGTGTTACGAGAGAGTAACATACACAAAAAAGGAGGGGACATAAGGACGACAGATGTTTGATAGGAAAGAAGGAGCAAACCACACCAGAGCATCCGTCAACCACCCACTAAGTGCCAAAGACTAGAGGTGTTACAAGAGGGTTGTGGTTTTAGTAATAGTTTTACGGCACTTGCAACACAATAAGGTCATAGAAGTGCCGAAGATTAGAGATGTTACAAAAGAGTAGTAGTTTTAGTAAAAGTTTTACGGCACTTGCAACACAATAAGGTCATATAATAAGCACCGAAGATCAGAGATGTTACAAGAGAGCAACAAACACAAAAAAGAAGTAGGAGAGATAAGGACAATAGATGTTTGATAGGAAAGAAGGAGCAAACCCCTCCAGAGCACCCGCCAACCACCCACTGTCGGAGAGAGAAGACAGGGTCAGTTTTTAGTTTTGTATTAGTTTTAGTAAGGTTTTTACGGCACTCGCAAGTCTGCATAAGGTCATATGAGCGCCAAGGGGTGGATGTCAACAGAGAGGTCCAAACGGGGAATCAGACTTACTCTGCTCACCTCTCTAGCCTCAACAGCACAAAGTCTGCTTCGACAATCAAGGCACCCCCGAAATATCATTTCACAAGAGAGTGAAAAACATACAAAAAAAGTAGAGGAAAAATGGCCATAGTAAGGATGAGGAAAGAAAAAGCAACAGTTCCCCCTATGTTGTTTCGGCACAGTTTGAGCATGAAATTGACAAATCAGCCCATTTACAATTCTACTGTGCAAAAAAACATGTTAATTTCCACCCTTTTGGGAATGGCCTAAAGACACTTCAGTCAGTAACACTGCCCTGGGCGGGGGGGGGCAGACAGACAGGGTCACGGCTTTTGTACTGTCTGACCAACATTGTCGGAGGCTGCTTGTCTGTTAGTTGATGTGTAAAGAGAATGCATATCGACACAATAATGGTCATTTAGTGCTGGGAAAAAGTGAGACAGACAGACAGACAGACAGACAGAAACAACAGAATGGACATAATGAAGTCTTCACGATTAAGGCCACATAGCCACCAATGCAGTTTAGTTTTAGTAAGAGTTTTACGGCACTTGCAACACAATATGGTCATATAAGTGCCGAAGATTAGAGGTGTTACAAGAGAGTATAAAACACAAAAAAAGGAGAGTTATATTTCAGTAAGAGTTTTACGGCTCTTCCAACACAATAAGTTCATATAAGTGCCGAAGATTAGAGGTGTTACAAGAGAGTAACAAACACAAGAAGGGGAGGAGAGATCAGGAAGATAGAAGTTTGATAGGAAAGAAGAAGCAAACCACGGTCAGAGCACCCTCCAACCACCCACACCACCTGACCTGAGCCAGCACAAAGTTGCTTT